GGGGGGGGGGAGAGACAGCCTGTGCACCTCCCTGCCACCCTGTCCCCGGCATCTTCACCACTGTGACCGCTTCGGGAGGGGACTGCGGGCCAAAGCCTCGCCTTCCCGGCTTCTCCATGCAGACCAACACAAGAAAGCCGATGCACTCACCAGGTCTTTATCCTGTGCTTACAGTTTCCACCACACGCTTCCCGCAGCACCTTGCCCTTGCCCGCTCCGGCTCCCTTCCCCCTTGTCGGTATGGCAATGAGCTGTGCCGTCCGGCCGTACCGCTGCCCAGTCTCTGCTTGCAGTTCGTCCTGGCCTCCCTGCCGGCGGCCGCCACTGCAGCTCTTCCTCAAGCGCACGTGTGTTTCTCTGCTCTCTGCTCGCTTGCCGTCTTTCGCCGTCTCTCTCTCCTTCTCCTTTCCTGCTCCTGCCGCCTCTTTGTCATCCCTCCTCGCACACCATTCCACCCAGCCCAGTGGCCCCTGCCCTGGTCCGCGATGCCGTACAGCTGCGCACGCATTCGTATCCCCTGGCCGCTGCTTCCCAGCAAAGTGCTCTCCCCACCTGGGCTCCCAGCCCCGCCCTGCTGTCTTCAGCCTGGCCCTGTGGAAGGCCCCAGGGAAAAGGGTGAGCCCCTCTGCTTCCTCCCATATGGACTTTAAATTCTGTGGGATTGTTATTAAAGTTGATAACCAAACACAAAATACTTATATCCCTATTTTGTAAGTAGGAAGATGTCCTATTGTTAAGGATAATTATAGATAAACTTCAACTAAGACAGCCCAAATAGTGCTGTATTTACTCATTCATAAATCATACCTAAAGTTATCCATTCAAAAGTTGAGTGTTTCATTAACTCCTCCATCTACCGTGTTATCACAGGGGGCTGTTTAATCCTTCCAGTGTTATAATATGGTCTTTTAGATGTCAAAATGGTGCAGAAAATCCACTTTCATAGAATAATAGAATAGCAAAGTTGGAAGGGACCAAGAAGGCCATCAGATCCAACCCCCTGCTCATACAGGACACCAGTTTACACCATCCCACTCAAACGACTGTCTGGTTTCTTTTTTAATGTCTTTCATGTGGGCGAACCCATGACCTCTCCAAGCAGCTGGTTTCATTGTTGTATGGCTCTCACAATGAGGAAGCTTTTCCTGATATCTAGCCTGAATCTGGGTTGTCACAACTTGAGTAGATTATTCTGTGTCCTGCACCCTGGGATGAGTGAGAAGAGATCTTGTCCTTCTTTGTGACCGCCTTTGAGGTACTTATAGAGGGGTGTCATGTCCCCCCTCATTCTTCTCTTCTCAAGGATGAACATGCTCAGTTCCCTCAGTCTCTCCTTACAGGTCAGTCTTTCCAAACGCTGGATCATTTTTGTTGCCCTCCTCTGGACCCTTTCCAGTTTTTCTGCATCTTTCTTAAATGTTGGTGCCCAGAAGTACAAGTAACTTTAATTGTAATTTAATTTATTTTTCATTTCATTAACTTTGCATTATATTCCAAGAGACAGGTAAGTAATTAGGAAGAACAAACGTTATTACTGAGAGCCAAGGTGGCATGGTGGTTGGAACGTTGTATTGAGGGCCCAGGAGATCCAGTTCTGATTCCTGCTCAGCTATAAAGCTCAGTTGAATGACTTGGAGTCAGTCACTTACTCTCAGCCCAACCCACCTTCAGGGTAATTGTTAGGATAAAAAGGAGCTATGTAAGCTGCCTTGGATTCCTCATGTAAGGAAAAAAAGACTGGATGCAAATGCAATGTAGTAATTTCTCTCACAAACTTATCTGAATTATCATCTCCTTGCAAAAGGAAGCGAACATTGGATATTGCTAAAACATACTGGTTAAGTGATGCATTAGCAGAATTACACTTCCAGCAATTGGCTGATTTAATTAAGTCCACATTGAATAAACACTGTGGTAGCCAGTATACTCAAAACATCAATTTTTGCTGAATTACATGTAATGTAAGATCCAGTGCCTTTTCTGAAAGATATGACAATGAAGCACTTCACTGGCATGCTCCAATTCATTATTCCATTCTTGGCTGAGACCTGGAGTACCATATTTCTTCACCAATGACAGATATTTATGCATATCAATTATAGGCCTGTGTCACTGTTCAGCCACAGTCCTAGATTCTAACAAATGTTTCAGTGGCATATTATTTATTTATTTGATTTTTATACTACCCAATAGCTGAGACCATCCAGGCGGTTAACGAAAGTTAAACACATATATTGTCATGCAGGTACACCAAGCAAAGTAGAGAATGGCAGAAAGTTTTCAGGGCCAGTAAGCTGATCCAAGGTAAAAATCAGGCTATCTGTCCAAGTCTGCCAAACCAACTTTTTCCTGCCAATCTTTAAAGTCTGAATTTCCCCACAGAGGCAAATTAGTATTTGAACTGAAGACAAACTGCAATTGACAAAGTATGCACAATGCCTTCCCATCTGCCATAACTCTAGGAGGCAAGTTATCTGTGTTGGTATATCAAGAACCTGATGCAATTCATCTGGGGAAGGTCCCAACAGGAAGACTCCAAAACTGAACAAGGAAAAGAACAAAATCTAGTAAAAGCCAACAGACAAGCCTAGCGAAATAAGGGAAAACCACGGAAGTAAATTCCAATAATTTTAAATCAAAAGATGCATGCTGATTCATAGCAAAGTAGAGTCCCTCTTTAAGCTTCTGAAAATACTTGCCAGGTATAAATAAAAGAACACCCAGTAAAACTGGAACACTGTCCTTCTCTCTCAGATGGACGCCTATTGGAGAGAGATGGTTTAACTTGGAGTCCTGCACCGAGCAGGAGGTCAGACCTGATAGCCTTCTGGCCCCTTCCAACTCTATGATTCTATGAGACTGAAGCTGTCATACTTTGGGCACTTCATGAGGAGGCAAGGGTCCCTAGAGAAGACAATCGTGCTAGGGAAAGCTGAAGGCAGAAGAAGAAAAGGAAGACCAGCTATGAGCCAGATTGATTCTCTAAAGGCAGCCCCAGCCTTGGGTTTACAGAACTGAGTGGGGCTGTCAAGGACAGGACATTTGAAGGGCACTCATGGAGAGGGTCACCATAAGTCAGAGGTGACTTGACAGCACACAAGAAGAGCAAGTGACACAGCTGCATGTGCTGCATAACTAAGGATGTGCATAGAGCAGGGTTCAAAGCCAGGCCCTAGTCCCACCTCAGTCTACAGTGTCCTGAACTGCTAAGGAAGTGAACCCGTGCCTTGGCTGGAATGCTTTACCTGGCAGGTGAGGGAATGACTTGGTGATGTTCTCCTCTAGACAAAAATGTTTTGTGCACGGGGCAATGAGCATGTCTGGCAGAAGGCTGGGCTAGAACTCATCTCCTTAACATGCCAATTGTCTCTGAGTGGAGAATGTTTTTGTATGGAGGCACATTCACTCCTGTGAGCTCCCACTTGCAATTCCAGGTGGTGCAGCCTGGCCCTAGGCACATGGCTGCCATTTCGCAAGAACCTGGCTTGGGTACCTGCAGGCCCAGTCTGGAGAGCAGCTGCTGCAATGCTGCAATATGCTTCTGTCTTTGTGCTGCAGTGAAGTGCTCCAGTGCTTCAACAAGCTGCAGAAGCGCCGGAGATCAGAAGCAGCCAACCTGTGGAACGAGCCTGTGGACAGCACCCACATGGAGCGGGACGACGATCGTGAGCTCTACATGCTGCTGCAGAAGAGGTCGAAAGTGCGCCGGGGATCCGAGGTGAGGTTCTGTGCACACAGAGCACCGTTTTGTGGAGGAAAAGTTAATTGTAGGCAGTCCTCTCACATACCAGCTGATACAGTTGGTTGTATATTTTGCATTGGATTCAGCTGGTGTGCTGTTTCTCCTGAGTTCCCCTAAAGATCCCGTTACCTTGGGATGGCACCTTCTCCCTTAAATTGCCTCTGCAGAGGACAGCTCTATTTATTTATTTCATTTCTATACCACCCAGTAGAAACTTCTCTGGGCAGCTAACGAAGTTAAAAGTTAAAAACATAAACAAAAGGAGAAAATGCATATGAGACAATGAAACAATAAGACAATAACACCATGCCAGTTGCAACCAAATCAATATAGAGGTACAGCAGCAGTACAGAATAAAATGTCATATTAAAATGAAGACTAAGAAGTTCATTGTTCAAATGCTGGGAAAATGAAAAGGTTTTCACCAGCTGGATCTGCCTGGAGTAAACAAGCACATCATCCTGTTTTTTTCCTTTGGAGCCTCTTCCCTGCCCCTCCACACACTCACTCCTTTTCTCCTCTCCTCCAGTAGGACTGGAAGCTGCAGCTGTAAGGCTGGTGCTGAAATAATTCTGTAGTGACACTCGGGGGAGACACGCTTTGGTCCCAAGAGGCTTCCTCTGTGGCAAAGGCATAAATGAGCAGGGTGGGACTCCCTCAATGCTCTCAGCATGGGGAAGCACAGACGGCGCTTGTGGGATAAGCTTCACTCTTATCCTGCACAGAACAGCCTGTGGGAGGCTGCAGCGAAGGAGCTGACCTAGCCTTTGGAACTGAAGCTCAGCTTTGCAGCTTCCAATAAGTAATCCTTCAGTTTGGACCTGTCTGCAGCAAAGGACAATGCTCAGGTAGTAACGCTGATCTCCATATTTCCTAACCCAAGATTTTGTGGTGCGGAAAGTGTTAATGACAAACTGTCTAGAAGGTCTTCCAGGCACCTGTCCTGCTCTTGTCACAAGATCCGGCACACCAGCGCCAAGGTGATTCTGGTGCAGGGACAAGGAGCTCCCAACTCCCAGTTGGGCAGCTACCGTGGGCTCCTCCACTTCCTGCCCTGGAGGCTCCCAGGGGCTGGGAAGAGGCAAGGGAGCAGAATATTCATGGCATCTCCTATCTGTGATCAAAGATAACAAGGAGACTCGCACTGCATGCTGGGAAGGGGAACCCTTTTCTTCTTCTTTGTGGTCCTTGTGAATCATGCAAACGGGCTCTGAGCCTACCGGGAGCCCCATCTGGGAAACTTATGCCACTGAGGAATTTTTGGTGGGACCCTTCCTCTGCCACCCCAGTGCACATGTCCCCAAGGGTTCCTGGGTATTCCCTGCATTCTCTGTACCACAATTGTGGCAACCTCACAGGAATCTTCTCACATTGTTCGCTGTTCATGCTGCAATTGTTGAGGTGCTCTTTCTTCTACTTTGTCCTCTGTCCTCTTGTTTTGTCTTCCTGATACTGTTTTTGTTTTCTTTCTTTCCTTTGTGTTCATGAACTCCACAATGGCCTACAGGTAGATGGTCCTGAAGGCCTCATTTTGGAAGTGTGCTCACGGCAGCCTAAACTGCCTTCTTCTTGTGTTCTTTCCACCTGGAAGAAGGGCAGAAGAGTGCCATACAGTGGCAGTCTGTGATCATTGTCAAGTCTTGACGAACAGAGAAGAAGTAATTGCTCTGACGGGCTATAGTTTGTTCTGTGAAGGAAAGTCCTTGAAGCAGTGGAGCAATCAGCAGATAAAAGTGGTATAGCATATATGGCAAAGGACACCCCTTTGGGGACATCAGAGGCCTTTCTCCATTTATCTCAGCCTTTGGGAATTTCAGGACTCATTCCTTACTCCCGTCAGGCCCTGGATTTGGGCTGGTACAATATACCCATATCTAGATGAAAAGGAAAACTCATAGTAGCAAAGAGCTACTGAAAAAGTATTCTCCGGGCCTGAAGGAAAATAAATCAAAGAAGGCTGCAGTCAAGCCGGCTACAGATCTGACAGTATAATTGCTTGTCTCCAAGATACCATCAAATTGGTCCTCAGAGTACCAATTGTACTGTCCATCAAGCCATCAATGATACCAGCTCCTCCATCAATGCTTAATTTGCTCAAACAAATTCCTGCAGCGGATCCTGTGCAAGATTCTATACCAGTTATATCTACACCAGAGAATGAGATTGCAGCAGTAGTGCTGGTCCCCGCCCCAACTCTCCCAGTCAGAGAGGATCTCTGGACTCCTTGTTCTCAGGCTACTGCTCCTGGAGCCAGAAACTTCATACCCATAGGCCCAATGAGCATCTAAATACGGATCGTGGTCACTGATTTGGGGTTGGAATGGGCGCTGCACTGACACGTACTGCCTGGATGCGCTACTGTTGGCTTGAGCCACAATCAGGATATGGTCGGTAGGCACTGGACAAATGGTAATGAAAGCATCCTTGCTCTCCATGAGCCAGTTTGCCCAATCTGGACTAATGTGCCCTGTTGGCTACACGTGCTTGGCCTCTGCCACACCAGAGGTCATCCCTGGCTGCTCCACCAGTCCGGCTCTGTAGCTGATACCAACTATGGTGCCAATGCCAGCTTGAAAAGACCAATTTCTTCTCTCATTGTGCCTGTCTGTGGAGTGTGCCAGGCATGGCGGTGGCACCAGGCAATTAAGCCAGAGGCACTGGGCCACTGTGACACTGACCTCTGCCTGAACCCCTCTTGTGAGTCCTATGAGACATTGAGAAAGGTTGGCTTAAAGGATGAGGAGTCTAAGCAAATAATGTCATGGTAGCCGACAAATACAAAAGCAGAGGCAAGCAGCCTGCAGAGACAAACAGCCTATTGTCTTACAGCAGCAGCTGCCTCTGCAGTGTTTCACGGTTCCCCCAAAGTTTCTACTACTCTAATATTTTCCTAGGTGAAGGATATGCTCCATGGGACTCAGGGGAATAGAAACTCACAGGAAGAAACATCCTTTTTCCTGCAGTTGAAGGATGTTTACAAGCAAAAACGTTGGTGGTTCCTTGAGCTAATAGCAATGGCAAGGTTTAAATTCACGAGTCAACCTTTGTTAAATTCTTCTAAAACTATCTCTAGGTGCATCCATTGTGGCATCTGATAAAGTTAAGGTGTCATTGCTGAACTGCTGGTGTTGATGCAGGTTCCATTGTATTCTTGCATGGTCAAGAATTAGAAACTGGGCTGGAAGTACAAAGATGTTCTTGGATCAGTTTTACTGGCTTCCACTGAGTTCCACCGGATACAATAAGCAGGGGCAGAGATGGGTTTGGAGGGATAAGCAAAATCTAACGCTTGCCTTTGGGTGATCCATTTAACACCTGCAGATGGAATAAACAAATAATAGTAAAACAGATATGTGTTTGCTCTGTGGTGACAGGTAAAACTGTGCAATGTAGCCACAATCTGAATGGGTGCCTTCGGTACGAGGAACCCAAATAGGTTGCAATGCACATGACACTTTACTGGGGGGCCCTGAACTCCTTGCCCATTGTAATGATGAGAATTTTGCTAATCATTGTCTTCCTTATCATGACAAAGGACTACCGACGTTTGAGCTTTGACATAATTGCCCATCGGCAGATTCGCCGCAAGATGAAGGACCATTGGAAGCAAGTGCTTGACATCTTAGGTATGATGCCTTTGGATTGCAGAAGGGGTATTTCCAATGTGGAGCAATTTTTTTTATTTTAATTTATTTTTCAATTTATATCCTACCTTTTTCCTACAAAGGGCTCAAGGCAGCTTACATCTCCTCCTCCATCTTATCCCTACAACAACAACCCTGTGAGATAGGTTGGGCTGAGAGTCTGCGACTGGCCCAAAGTCACCCAGTTGGCTCCATGGCTGAGCAGGGACTAGAACCCAGATCGTCTGAGTCCCAGTCCCATGCTCTTAACCACTACACCACACTGGCTCTCTTGAATTTATTTATTAATATTTTCAGGGATTTTCAAAATTATCGGACTAAGCAGACAGTATAGTAATAGCTGTTGCTTCTAATATTTAGCTTCGAGGAAAGATATGGGAAGAGAATCTAAACTAGAATATTGACTGAAAGGTTCATGTGGTTCCTTAACAGTTTTGATGAATGCAACCTTGGACTTTTCTGTTCTGCAGATGCTTTTAAAATCTTTAAAAAGTAGAATGTTAAAAAACTATTTCTGATGCTCAAGTAAGATACATTAAGAAAGAATTGAGGACAACTGCAAAGCTGCTTTCTTTGCAGCGACTGGCTGAGCTGCTCTGTAAGCAGCTACAGAGTGACACCCTGAAAACTAATGTAGTTACCAATGAATTGCTTGACTCTACAATGATTGTGACTGAAGAAGAAGGTCAGTCTGGAGCAGGTAGAGGTATATTTTAAGCATTTCTGCAACTTCTGAATTAAACAAAAATTGAAGTGTTCAAGAACCAAATTGCTCATGGGACCACCATGTTCCATGAGGAATTTTCTATGAAGTTAACTTTGCTTGCCTAAAAGAGTGGTGAAAAGGGTAGGTATATGTGGAAGGGCAAGCTCAGAACAAGCTTCTCAGCTTCTAGGCCAATGACATCCAGGATCCTTGCCTCCACTGGCATTATCTTACCAGTTATTCATGCTTTGATGAGCTCCTCATTTCACTAATGGCAATGCTAAGCATGCCAGCTGTCAATGGTTTGGAAACTTCAGCTGGTTCAAAATAAGTGGGCAAGATTGTTAACTGGGATTAGCAGATCCCAGTATGTGACACCAGTGCATCTCCATCTGCACTGGCTTTTGATCTACTTCAAGTTTTGGGCTTGTTGTTTTTGGGTTACTTTTAAGGCCCTAGATGGCTTGGGGCCACATTAGGTAAAGCATTGTATCCTCTCATGTCTACCTGGAATCTGAAAGATCTTTCCTTTACCTTTCTCTGGTTATACCCATCAGGGGAGGCACAGCATGTGGCTACTCAGGACATTGGAGGAAGTTCTCCCCAGAGATGCCACCTGGTGTCTCATTTCCCATTCCTGTTTTGAACTGCATTTTAATGTTTTGTATTGGAAGCAGTTCAGAAACTCTGGTTATTGGGAGGCATATAAATGCTGTGAGTAACACGATGGAAGCGCATTTACAGAACTGTCAGTGTTGATGGGCATGAGAAAAACGGATCTCTTCCCCATACAGGGTTCAAAGCAGAAGCTGAAGAGCTCCTCACAGTCACCTCGAGCACTTCATATGAATCCCTTCGCAACCCTGCAGAGGCTCGTACACTCCTCGATGCCCTAGCTGAGCAGACAACTATTTTTGGCCGTCACTGTGGTGGCCCACCGGAGAGATATCTCTTTGTCCTTGTGAGTAGGAAAGAAAACTTGCGGGGTGGGGGGTTGCCTGCTTGATATATAAGCAGGGTGTCCCTTCCTTGTGAAAGCAGCTGGACTCTTCCAGGTACCATGTGTAAATCAGAGCTTGAGGGTGGCACACAACCATTTCTTGTGTGTTGACTGCTTTAATGTGCTGGCCGGCCGGCCCTGGGAATGCCTGAATGGCGTGTTTCTTGGCTGGAAGATAGTTTGAATCTTTTCGAATGCCTTGCGATGTGGACAACTCTTGGGAAACTCATTGCGCAGCCTTAACAAGACTGGTTTTGGCATCTCACCACTGCCATAGAAATAGCTGTCAAAATTAGTCCTAAGCCAGCCCTAGGCCACTTAAGAGCAGATCTTAATTTTGGAAGCCCCTGAGCTTGGCTCCAAATTATAGATGGGCCTCTGCTAGGAGGTGTGTGGAGGTGGAGACGAGGGAGAAGAAACTGCACAAGGGAGGGGGAATTGAGTGGTGGGGGTCTTACATGAACAAGTCGCTCTAAGAGCACCGGCTTTTGGGTGTGGAGGGGTACGAGTTAACATTTGGCCTGGCTGCCGCCACAAGTACTGACAGCTCCGCTATCGGCGGCTGGCATATCCCACTGCCCGGTGCCTCGCTAGAAATGTAGCACTGATAAGAGGTCTGATGATGCAAGCAGAGGTAGCCAAATAAATTTAAAAGACAGCACCGAAAAGCCTCTGAGTTTGGCAACACTTATTCACTAAGATCTCCATCACACAGCAAAGGATCAGCGATTTCCTTTCCACCTCCAGCAATCACTGGCGTGTCCCTATTTTTTAGACCTGCTTGTGAGCCTCCCTTGGGAAGGCTCTGCTTGTAAACGAGGAGTCTTAAAACCACACTAAATTCTTTCCTATGTTGACCTTTTAGTTAAGTGGTGATAAGCCTACCTCGCCTTTGCAAGGGGGTGGTGTGTTGCCAGGATCCTTCACACCAAAGTAATCCAATTTCCTGCTGAAATGTTCTCCCTTGTTTCCCTCTTTAGTTTAGGGTGACAAAAATGTGGAGCCTGCTCACTTAGCCAATCTTCCCTCTCCGAGACTCCTGGGCTCCTTTTGATTCCTCAGGGAAAGCCCCAGGAGGAGGAAAAATGCTTTGTTCTTTTCCCTCCCGTGTCTGCAAAGTGTGCCAGCAATCACTGCCTCATTAAAGCTGGTCTGGGTAGGGCTAGGTGGCTTCCTGTATAGTAGCCGTCTTTTATTTATTTAATTTATTTATTAGAGTTATATCCTGCTTTTTTAAAAAAAGAACTCAGTGCGGCTTCCATCATTCTCCCCTTCCTGTTGCTTTCAGTCTTATCCCCACAACAACAACCCTGCAAGGCAGGTTGAGCTGAGAGTCTTAGACTGGCCCAAAGTCACCCACCTGATTCTATGGTTGAGTGGGAACAAGAACTAGATTGACTGGGTCCTGCTCTCTTAACCACTACAGCACACCGGCTCCCTTTATCTGAAGGGCTGTCCAGTCCAAGTCCACTTTAAAGGTATAGAACCATAAGAAGGAACAGCAGTGGTCTTGTCCTCAGAATTAGCAAGCACATGGATCTTCACTGCAGTGGTGCATTAGAAGTTTTGCATTTTTATTTAAATTAGAGTCATTATGTCTAAATTTGCATCTGTACATAAGGCACATCTTCTGCCAGCTGGTGTCCTTTCTTTGCATGATGCACATCTTTTTTATGATTAATCAGTGCTCCTGCTAGCACTGACTGGTGTCTCGTGGCCCAGAAACACCTGTGAACTAGGTAATTTTTTAAGCTAAGAGACATTTTGTTCTTTTTCCATCACTTGAAAGCTTGTAGAATCGGATTATCTCAATAACATGAATTTTACTACTTAATTACCAACCGCTTGCATCAATGGGGTTAATTTCACACTCCAGCAATACTCATGGATTTGGGAACTTCCCAAGTTATGAAGCATTCCCTGAAGTATTTTGATCTTCTGGGAATTTGAAGGTAGGCGGTTGCTTAGTGTTGTAAAAGTGGGGTACTGACAGTTGTTGAAATGGGTGCTTTGTGCTTTTACAAAGTTGGGACATCTCGGGCCACAGTGGCGACCCTTTCCTCCACTGTGTTTGCATAGGTCAGATGTTGCATGCAATCAAGTGTAGTATTTACATCTGTGAGGAAGCCAGCCCATTCAGAGTTTCTTCCATTGGTTTCTTAGGCCAGCTGCATTATCACTATGTTTTGTCACCTCCCCTTCCTCCCACATGTCCCAATCCCAGGACAGGCTTCTTCTCCTAGATGTAGGAGATGACTTCCTTGCAGCTGCTCGTCACTTTTACCCTGCGGAGGAAGAAGAGGCCGTCACATCTTCCAGTGATGGAGGACCTACCATTCCAGGTCCAGTCTTAGTCAAACTGAGCAGCAAAGCTGAGGAAGAAGCCAAGGAGGATGAGTTAGATGTGGAAGAGACAGAGGAGGATGGAGAAGCTGAGGAAGGCACTGTGGAATAAGACCAACACAGCTCTTGAGCAGAAGAACAAAACAGTTGTGTATGCAGAGCACAGATAGACTAGAAGCCACATCTGGGTTATGGCTTCACTACTTTCATATGGTCCTGTTGAAAACCCTACTTGACCCAGAAAAATCACCTCCTCCACCTGTACTTTCCTGTGTACCCATTTATCTTTTGTTATTATACCTTTTTTTAAAAATGACATCATGTGTACTAGAAACAGCATAATTTCTCACTCTGCTAAATCTACAGGCTCTCTTCTCACCTCAGTTGATAAAACAGGAGTTGGTGAACATTTAGGAGCAAAACCAGGATCAAAAATGTTCACTATGACCTGAAATTCAGGGTTTCTGTGCTGCCCCTTGGTGCCTTTGGACTGACACTTAATTTTATGATTTGTCCCACAAGCATGGGGTATGGTGAACCGGTAGGCTATTTTTCAGGTCTTCATTATTTGTGTATTTCTTTTCTGCACATGGCAGGGCTTGAGGCTAAGGAAATATCCAAGTCCCCAAGAGACTGCTTCTGTTGTCACCTGTCACGAGATACATGGTGAGCCCCCAGCAATGCTGCGTATAGGAGACGGGCATTGTGACTTCCGCCTAGAGCTGGAAACCAGACACGGACATGGATGCACTTGCCCAGCAAGGTCTAACTTTGTTTAGTGCTTTGAATCCCCGGCCTCTGTAAACATCACATCTCTGATTATGATTTGCATTTCTATACCACTCATACCCAAAGCTCTCTGGGTGTTTCACAACATTAAGTCACCCATCCAGATTTCAACCAGACCCAGCCTGGGGAGCAGAGGCTATGACATGTAACTACAGGTTGTTGACTCAACTATTTGTAGCCTTTATATGACTAAATCACATCCACTATTAGATGGTGTAGAAGAGAAGCAATGAGAAACCATGACAGACTGTACAGACCAGCGATTGCCTGCACTGTATGGGATTATCCAGTTCAGAATGGACTTTTAACCAACTGCTGCATTTGTCCATTAATTTATAACTATAAGTAGGGCACAGCAAAAAATCATATACAGGAAGTCCCCTACATACGAACCTTCAAGTTGCAAACTTTCAATGATGGGAGCATGCTTTTGTGTACGTTACTGTAATAATTGAGAAAGGCGAGTCCAGCAAAGCATAACACAGGTTGAACCAACCTAATGGTAACACCATATGAGAAAGAACCCATCAGATGAACCACACAGGTGCACTTCTGCACTGACACATACCCAGAAGTATAACTTCCAGAAGTCCCAGAATGTCAATGGAATAACTTCCCAGAAGTTCCAGAATGTCAATGGAATAACTTCCCAGAAGTTCCAGAATGTCAGTGGAAGTCCTCCAGTGTCATTATAAACCTATTACAGTCCAGTACTATATAGCCGATTGTGTTAGTTGGGTACCTAGGCTAACTTTGTTGGACTTATGGACAAATTGGACTTAACGAACACTCTCTCGGAATAGAACTCATTCGTTTGTGGGGACTTTCTGTAGCAATAATTTGTCCATTTTGCAGAATTGGCCTTGACTATGGTAAATACCAGATATAAGGTCTAACATCAGTCAGACTTTTTATTCATAATGAAAAAGACAATTTAATACAAACTGGATCATTCTTTCAGCAAAATCATGAGTCTTAAGGGCGATTGGCCAGAATGGCCAATAACTTCTGCAGATTTCTCATGGGGATAGTGCTGAGACTTTTCTCTATGAACACTCAGCAGATACAAGCCAGATCTTCACTCACTGTCCAATGTAGTCACCTCATCATCCTGTATAAAGTGCTAAAGGGTCATTCAGCCATGCTACTACTGGGTTGCAACTGGGCAAGAAAGTGCTACCAGAATGGCCATCAGTGTGGTGCAGTCCAGGAGGTCAGTCAAGGCCATGTTGCATATGTCAAGCACAACTCATACCAATTCACCTCCAAAGCTCTCAATTTGCTAAGTTCCTGAATGGAACCAAGATAGGCATAGTATTCTTCACTCTCATCCATCAGAGATGGATGTTGTTTCAACAAACTGTGAGCAGGTTGCTGTTCATCGCTGAAACAAGTCCTCACTGAGGTAATAGCCTGAATGCCTGATCCTGCCTAATCTTGGAAGCTAAGCGGGGTTGGGCCTGGCTGCAATCTGGATAAGTGACTGAAATGTTGTGAACTGCCCGGAAAGCCTTGGCTACGTAGTAGTAGTGGTGCTAATATGAATTCATGGAGGAAGTATAACTGGATCTCTGGTAGAACACTTTGGAGGATAGGTTGGGAAGATACAGACAGTTTTTCTGTTGCATGGTTTGCCCAGGACAGCCTTACCTTCTATATCCACATCATCTGCCAGTTTCTTGAACTTGTCTACGATGGTACTAAGGTCTCCTCACCTTCTTCTCTGTGTTGTTCCAGCATTCGCAGAGAGTCTTATACATGTACTTTCCTTGCCATTACACAAAGTTCACAGGGTTGCACTGAAGAATATTTGCTTAGGATCACAAGACAAGCAGTAAAAGTTGACATCTGTGATGTACACAAGACCCGGTACAAAAGGCTTCTTGTTTTGGTATTGCTCGATCCTGCTAGTTACATGTGTTGTGAGTCAATGCTGGTTTAATTTTCTACATGGTTTCTCTTGCATTTTTGAGTTTACCATGTTTCATCCATACGTGTCGATATTAAATGCCGCCTTTCAATGCTTGCATTATTCAGATCACTTACACTGAGATTATATCTATGAGATAAAAAGTGGAAAATGATACCGGAGGGTGAATTGCCTGTTCTATGCATGAACCCTACTTTCTTCTCCTGCCATGGTTTAGCAACCATTGTGCTCTTGTCCTGATTGAGATTGAATCCAAAATCAGAACTAGCAGATAACATTGTATTAGTCATGCCCACTCCCAAAGCATTCCTCGTGTACAGATGCATCCTACCACTTTCTTCCACAAATCTGACACCTAGATAATTGTTCTGTGCCACAAATATCTTTTGTGAAAACTGAGAATCTCATGGAAGCATTTTCCTTGGCAATAAGAGCTTCCCTCAAAACTTAGCCACACCAATTTATTAACTCATTCTGCATTCCAGTTTCCATTTATATTTTAAAAAAATCATCTTCTGCTCAAAACAGTAAAAGTCTTCTATGTTACCTGTGGTACCCCAAAGAGTAAGGCTTGTGGCCCTCAATAAACAATGGTTGATAGAACAGAGTACAGCTTCCGTTCATTTTCTTACATAGTTCTTTATTGATGCCTTTTTTCCTGTTCATGACAGAAAGGAAGTTAAAAGCCTCTTCATGTGATTGTTTTTTGGGGGGTTTGCAGTGTCTTGGTCTTGCTAGAAACTGGCAATGAAAGTGTTTTGTACCTTGTGCTACTGGCTGGCGAAGGAGAATATTTAAAAAACATGCTTGGCCAAATGAACTTGAACCTTGACTGCCACACCTGAAGCCCTTGCATTCTGTAGGACTCCAGCACTGTAAACAGCTTTAATTTGAGCACACCAGACAGAGGATTTGCTTTTGATACATACCTTCTTATCTCCATTTTTCCTGCTGTTCAACTTGTACCATATTGGTAGCTGTATCAGTATTTTCAGTCCAGATGTTTGCATCCCCTGTCCCTGTCTGGATCTATTTTCTGCTTTCTCAAGGTAGAAACATTGGACATTACTTGCACCTTGTCTCATTAAGTAGTATCTTCAGTATGTGTCTGGAGCTTATTTTTATTTATTTATTTATTTATTAATTAAAACATTTCTATGCCACCCCTTGCCGAAGCCTCGAGGCGGCTCACTACACAAAATAAAATACAATAAAATACAAAAATAACAATATAAAATTAGCAATATAAAAGAAATAGCAATATAAAAGAAGTCGCCCTGGCTCTCTTTTTGAAATGGTTGCAAGCGTTTCCAGGTAAACAGATAGACTTTTGCACCCACGAGCCCTCAGGGCAATTTGGGAAATTTGCAGTTTTGTAAATTTGGCCACAAAATGCCCAATTGGTGGCTCACCACTTTGGAATGTCCCTCTCACATCTATGGATCTTAGGTTGCATTTTATTGAGCAAAAACTTCTTTCTTGTGTTTATTGGGCACCACACTCTCTCTTTAATAAGCGACTGCCTAATGCAGCTAATTGCAGGCAGTGCAATACAGCTCACACTTCTTTCAAACATGTTTTGTATATGCTGAAAGTTGCTGCTTTGCGTGGGAGGTTATTACAGTTCTATGTTTTCTACTGGAACAGTTTCTAATATTCACTGATGTAGATGTTCTGTTGAATTATTTAACAAATAATCAGTGTAAATGGATTCTCTGCACCCTTTTGACAGATAAAAGATTGATATTGCAACAATGGAAGCATAAATGCTCACCTTGTATAATGCAGTGCACCACAACCTCACAACAGCTCCAGTATTGGAACAGTTGGCATACAAGTGCCACATTCAGGTGGATACTTATTTAACATATTTGGTCTGGTTTTGTTGAAGTCTGCATATTCTTGCAAAAAGTTGCATGCATTTCACACAAATCCATGTGCGTGTGTGAGTGCGTGTTGCAAAATGAGATGTTTTTTCATGAAAGCATTAAAATTGGGTGCCCATTGCGTGTGACATCAGGGACCCCTGGTCTAGGGTTTCCGAATGTTATAACATTGACAGAAGCAGTATCATTAGGTCAGGACAAACAGCATTTCTCTGAGCTGCCAGAAAAGTGCAGAGTGTCTGAACCTGGCAACTGCCCTTAACCCTCTCAGATTACTCCAGCCCTCTTGTTGATGAGCTGGATCTGTAAGTGTCAGTGTAAACATTTATGCTTCCAGAGAAACCAGCACCCCTCCAGCCCCTCACCTCTGCAAACACCCATGCTTGCAAGGCTATTGCCTGGCCTGCTTTATCTATTAGCATTCAAAGCTCCCTACTGTCAGGATTGTGGAAACTTTTAAAAGCAACTTTCTAGTCCTTATGGCTACAGAGAAACTGACAATTTAGGTGGGAGATGTCTGATGAACCTCAGAAGCCAGTGGCTGCCCTGGACCTCCCCGAGGGAGAGCTCACACGCTCACCGCTTCCCATGAGAACAAGTAGGAATGGGCAATCAGATTGTCAGATTCCTTCAAATGCCACTCTAGAGCGTGATCTGACTTGTGTCTGCATCAGATTGCAAGGTTTGTTGGCTTGGTTTTTTTCTTTTTGCAACAACATGTTGCACTTTTTACACAAAATTTCCCAAATGTATGTCTCAACTCTGTGCACTTTGGAAATGTGTGCATTTTTCGCCCATTAACTTATGTACCTTTTTGCAAATTTTTCAAAAGCACAAATTCTTTCATATTAAATGTATATATTTTTCAAGCATGTGTTCTTGTTCTGCAAATTACCTTATAAACTTGAAAATGTACAGAATTGGCAGATTATGTTTGGTCTACATTTGGTTCTGGGAGGTACAACCTGGATAAATTCTAGTCAAAACTGAACTGAAACTAATTTCATGAACATCCCTTGTGTCAAAGATGGTCTCTCTGCAAAAGGAGATTCTTGCAAGCATACTTATTTTTCAGCATTCCATTTTCTTGGTTTACTCTTTGGATCCCTTTCAGCATTTAATCTTTACCACTGTTCTGAATGGCAGGACCAGGTGTTCTCAGGCTTGTACTGTGCAAGCACAAGCATGTGGAACCCCAATTCAAAGCTGAATCCTGAGAACTCTGCCTTGCTGTTTGTGCTTCTTAAAGGAAGTTTCTAGTCCTCAGGGGGGTGCAGAGATTTGAAAACGAATGCTTGATGAATTCTCAAAAGTCAGGGGCGTGCCGTTCAGGATTCTTACTGGATAGGGACAGGCTTGTATACACTGGACAACAACTTTCTCCTGTACCCCCCTTCTGAGAAGCAGAATACATTCTGCAAAATATGCCGAGAAATGCGAATTAGTTTGCATGATACAGACAACTGATGGCATTCAGCTTTTGGCATTTTGAGGGATGTAGGGAGAAGGAGGGGTTGTTTTTTCCCCCATGTACAGTATCTATAAACACAGCACTTTAGCTATGCCTGCCTAGGAAATGTATTTTCTGCAGCTTGTGCAAGAAGGATCAGCTTTCTGTCCTCCTCCTCCTTTTGCTTGTCCATTTTTTGTACTTCCTGACCACCTGTTCTCTTGCCATCATTTCTTCCTCCCAGAATCTGTGTGTACAAACTGTCCCTGTTATACAAACCGGCCGCAGGGCAGGGGGCATGACTGTCCCTGCTGTGCCACACTAATCCCTCTGGCTCCATTCCTAAATAACCCAGCCTCCCATCCTGGAGAACAAAGGCTCAGCTGAGGAAGTTCCTTTCCCCACCCTCCTTGCTCTTCCTCTGTCCCTCCCCTTAAAAAGCAGAGAGAGGGATGGATCCAGCCTGCCCTTTGTTTAAGGTTGGACCCTAGAGTTCATCCCTCTAGATTAGAGACTGTAGAGCCTGGCAAGAAACGTAGGAAACTTCTCAGCTTCTCCCTTCTGGCAGAGATGCACATGCCCTCAGTGGTCACCTTCACATAGCAGAGAGGAACTGGCAGCTGAACAGCACTGCTGCATAGCGAACAAATCTCCCCCTTGCAGCCTGTCCCGTGGTCACCTCTTTCTTGCTTGTCAAGGTGTCTGAGGTTTTGCACTCTCACAAGAATCCCAAACCTCTCATAAGGGAAGTTTTGCCTGTGTGTGCGTGCAGAAGGCACACGTCATCTGTTGTGCTCTGCTTTCGAAGCATATGCAGATGGCAGATGAAACAGGCCTGAGAATTACGCATCAAATATCACTCATAGTGCCTTAACGGACACTGCAGCCATATTCACAAGACAATGTCCAGCTTTGCTCGTGACGCTAAACCGGGATGGGAAACTCCAGTCTGCAGGCCGGTTCAGGCCCATGAGGTTCCCTGTGTGGCCAGTAAGTTTCTTCCAGTCCTGTGCAGGAAAGCACCACTCTTATCTCTGGTCAATGATGGGAGAAAAGACAGGATGTGACAGCATTTTAACTTAACAAACCTTGTTCTTTAGAATCGTTTAATATTTAAAGGTATCTGAAGAGCAGAGTGCTTAAATAAGTCCTGTAAGGAACTATGGTTTATACAAGGTGTGTCCAGAAAATAATGAGAATGATATTTAAAAAATTATTTTATTGAAAATTTTTACAATTGAACATTGTCTCCTTCAAAGTATGCACCTTGTGAGTGTGCACAACGCTCCCAGCAATTTTTCCATTCTTCATAGAATCCCTGGACGTCTTCAAGTGGGATGGCATTGTAGGGCTGTGTAGGATTCTTTGGACATTATCCACACTAGCAAAATGGTGTCCTTACAACCATTCTTCATCTTTGGGAAGATGAAAAAGTTGCAAGAAGTCACGTTGGGGCTGTAGCTGGATGGGGAAGCACCATGATGTGTTTTTCAGCCAAAAAGTGTGTTGTGATGAAAGATTCAAGTTGAGCCAATCATAACTGGTACCATCAGTACATTTGCGCAGATGATAGCGCAGCTTCTCCATAAGCTTTCTTCACCATTTCCAAAGTTTCTGATGCACTTTTACCCAATTTCACACAATTTTATGGGGTACTGCTGTTCCAAACTTGCTTGCATTTTTCTTAAAATGAGGCACTTGAAAAGGATGTCACAAAAATGAATGTCTCAACTCTGACAAAGCTGGAATGCAACTTGATCAGTGTTCTCAGGTATACCTAGCACTCCACCCCACGTGACCTTGGGCAGCTCCTCCCTTCACAGAGCCCTTCCCAAGTATAGGGACTTAATTCTCATTTCTTTCTGGACACACCTTGTATGCCTTAAAGCTGTTGCATGGTGCTTACTTCTGAGTAGACATGCATTAAATTGGGTTGTGTTTTGTATGCTTCATGGGAAAATGTCCAGGCTGGTCCAGGGTACATCTCCCCTGGTCTTGGCCCTGCTCATTCACTCTGCCCTTTTCCCACCCTTCCGCCTTTAGCCTGCTCAGTGTTGTAATGTGTTATTCCCAGACTGGAATTTGTGCTGAAAAGCTTCATTTTCTGTGCACTGAGCCATGGTGTAGTTCTGTGTGCATAAGCCTCTGAATCCAACTCCAGCCCTGAGCACAAGTGCCCATTTCCTCCTCCTGCTGGTCAATCGTGATTCACTTTTCTGTCTTTCCAGTTCCTGGCTTCTTGTATACAAACCAGGAAGAAAATGATTTAAACTCAACTAAACATTAGTCAATTGCTAAACAAGCCAACTCCAAATTAATCTGCTTTGCTAGGCATACTAGAGTTTATTTTAAAAATACTCAGTGGACCACTGTTGGAAATAAAACTGGATGGAGCCTTTGGTCTGATTCCACAAAGGGGCCCTTACATGCACAGCCAGAAGAGATGGCAAGTTGATCTGATGGCCCCCTTCCCCTGATCCAAAAAGCTGGGCCAAAACGGTGGCCAGGGTCTCATTTTTAACCAGCTAAGACTTTCCCTGTCCTGCTACTTCATGGCCTTGAGCAAAAGTCTGCCATTCTCTGAAACTATTTATTTAATTTCGATAAAAGCCACCTGTTCGCATCCTGCTTTCTGTGATCAAGAGTGTCCTGTGATTCTCCCTGCTGGGAATAGAAGGGGCTAATTCTCCTTCAGTTTTTCACTTTGTTGGCAGAGCGAGTCCAGCAATATTCCCCCTGGGCCAACAGTGTGGTATTAAAGCCCTTATTTGTACAGCACCATTGTCCAAAAATGAGAGAGGGAGGGAAAGCAAAGGCAGCTTTTGAAGATGCAGCTTTGTTGACAGAACTCTAAGCCAAAGTATTCCTATTCCTTCTACT